ATGTAAGGACAGGTGTTCCCAGAAATTAGTTAGTGTGGAAGTTCTTTGGGTCTATAAAAGGGATATTAGGACAGGTGTTCCCTTAGATTAATTAGAAAGTCCATCGAGTATATAAGGCGATATTAGGACAGGTCTATTTGGAAATCTTGTGGGAGTATAAGTGGGTATATAAGGACAGGTTTGTATAAGGGGATAAGAGATTAGTTTGAGCGGATATAAGGGAGAAATCCCTTAAGTGTATAATAGGAATATTGTTCCAGTTATTAGACTCAAACGAACTTTAAATATCTCCCGAGTTATCTGGATCCCACTAGGCCCTTCTTGATTCATATGGAGAACCAGTAAATTCGTCCTTCAAACTTACCTGAAGCTCCCTGAATACCCTTACCCTACCCTAAGCCGCCCACACACTCACCTGAATGCCCCTGAGTCCTGTTCTGACGACCACGGGCGTGAGATCGTCGTGGGTGCGGAGGAGGTAGACGAGTCCTGAATGGAACACGACCGCCAGGAGAGCATTCGCGTCGCCTGGAATTATTGTTATTGTTGTTATTATTTTTTATTATTATTATTTTTATTATTATCATTATTATTATTATTATTATTATTATTATTATTATTATTATTATTATTATTATTATTATTATCATTATTATTATTATTATTATTACTATTATTATCATTATTATTATTAGCATTATTACTATTACTATTATTATTATTGCTATTATAATTATCATTATTATTGTTATTGCTATTATTATTGTTATTATTATTTTCATTACTATTATTGTTGTTGGTGTATTATTATTATCAAGGAGGGTGGGGAAAGAAAGAGGCTGTTTGTCTCTCTCTCTCTCTCTCTCTCTCTCTCTCTCTCTCTCTTATGTGATTTGTGGCTTTCGAGTTCGTGGAACGATGATGATGATGGTGATGATGAAGATGATGATGATGATGATGATGATGATGATGACGATGGTGATGATGATGATGATGATGGCGATGATGATGATGATGATGATGATGATGATGATGATGATGATGATGATGATGATGATGATGATGATGATGATGATGATGGCGATGATGATGATGATGATGGTGATAATGATTTTGTTTCATCATGCATTGTGTGAATTACCTTAACAATTTCATTTAGTATCACCCTTGTCATCGCCATCAATAGAGTGATGTTAATGATAAAAAAAAAACATCAGCACCATAACCACATTTCCATCATCACCACTCACCACCACACCCACACCATAACTGCACCACCACAAAAACGCACACACCATAGCGACCAACACCACACATGATGCTTTAAATCTTCACACGTTTTGGGAGCTCAAGGCAGACTTTAGAATCCATTAACCTTATGTGCATAGGGTGGGGGAGAGGGGGGGGATGTGGGGAGGGGGAGGGGGAGCGGGGGGAAGGGGGAGGGGGAGAGGGGAGATGGGGGTGGGTGGGAAGGGGAGAGGGATAAGGGAGAGTGGGAGGGAAGGGGGGTGGGGTGAGGGAGAAGGAGAGGGAGAGTGAGAGGGAGAGGGAGAGGGAGAGTGGGAGATGGAGATGGAGAGGGAGAGGGGGTGGGTGAGTGGGAGGGAGAGAGGGGTAAAGGGGTGGAGGAGGGAGGGGGGAGGGGGTGGGTAAGTGGAAGTGGGAGAGGGGGATGGGAGTGGAGGGGGGGGTTAGAGGTAAGGGTGTGGGGGAGGAGGGGAGGGGAAGAGAGAAAGTATGGAGGGGAGGGTAAGGAGAAAGGGAAAGAGAAGAGAGGAAGAGGGAAGAGGGGCAGATGGTTGACAGGTGGTTAGGAAGAACAGAGGGGAAGGAGAGAAGGAGAGAGAAGAAGGACGCAGTAAATATTCGGAAAATTCTCTTTTTTTTGCATTTCCTTGTCCTTCTTTTATCTTTTAGTTTAAAATGTTATCATTTTCTTAAATATTTTTAAACCGTGGATCCATGACGTGCACGTGTATATATTTCCATCTTTATCTTTTTTATGTGTTTGAATCTGTACGTGCGTGCATAACCGTATCTCCTCCATGGATAATATACAAGTTTATGCGTGTACACATATGCACGTGTGTGTGCAGATGTGGGGAAAAATCCAGATACATTACAATCTGCCGCTCTATAAATAAATCCTCAGCTACAACCACTCCCCCCTTCCCCTTCGCTCCCCCCCCCCCCGCCCTTGTGTCTTCCCTTCCCTAAAACTTTGCATTACTTGTGCTTTTACCTGTAATTCTACCCTTAATATTTACATCTAATACCTCCCCCCCCCCCCCGCACGCTGCAGATTTACCTCCTTCCTTACTCCCTTCCACTCTTCATCCTTGCCTTTTCCTCACATGCGACCCCCCTTACCCACAACTCTTACCTTCCCCTTTTCCCTTAAAACATCCTTACCTTTTAATTTCTCTGAAACTCCTTTTATCTCGCTATCCACTATACCCTTAGTACTCTTAAAGCTAACTGTACAGTTCTCCTCCCCCTCTCTCTCTCTCCCTACCCCACCTCCTCTTCCCCTTAACTACAACCCTCTCCCTACCCCTACCCTGCCGCTTCTAATCTCTCCTACTATTCCTTCCTCATTTCCCCTCTAACTCTTATATCTACCACTTTCCCTTCCCCCTCCCTTACCCCCTCTACTCGTGCTTCATTTACCTTGTCTAACTCTTACCTCTACCCGTCTCCCTTCCCCCTTCCCTTCCCCCTTTAGCTTACCTTAACCCCTCCCCCTTATCCCTTATAGACTCTTATCTCTATATTTTATGAAGTCTTTCTCCTGTCCCTTTCCTACTTTCTAAGCCTGAACTCTACCTCATATGTAGCCCTCCCCCCCCCCCCTGTCCCTTCCTTATCTCCTTGGAACCTTCACTCTACCTCATACGTATTTCTTCCCCCACCCCTAACCAGCCCCCTCTACCTAATATGCATTCCTCCCTCACCCTCCCTCTCCTTACCACCACTTACTCTCCCCTCCCCTTCTCCTTACCCCCCTAAACCTTCCCTCTAATATGCATCCCTCCCCCTCTCCCCCCCTCCCCCCCCTCTTCCCCCTTCCCGCCTCTCCTACCCTCCCCCTTCTCCCCACCCTTTCCCCATCTCTTAACCCCTTCTAACCCATCCCCTCTCCTTACCTCCTCTAACCCTTCCTTCTAATATGCATCCCTCCCCCTCACCCCCCCCCTCTTTCCCCCCTACCCTATCCATTCCCCACCCTTTACCCTTACCCTTCTTGAACGGTATGCAAATTGAACGAAATCAATTATGAGATCTTGCGCCGTGGGGGGGAAGTGGGAGGCGTAGCAGAAGAGGCAAGAGGAGTGAGGGGCAACTGAAGCAAGGAAGGGAACTCTGGTAACCTTATTTGCGGACAATTTAATTTGCCTTCTTTCATGAGTTTGTGGACGGGGGGGAGAGGGTGGGTGGGGAGGCGTGGGGGGTAAGAGAGTAGGAGGGGAAGGGGAGGGTTTGTGTGTGTGTGGTAGGAGAGGGTAAAAGAGAGGGGAAGGGAGGGCCTGTAGGGTAGGTGGAGGGAAGGGAGGGAGGGAAGAGAACGTAGAAGAGGAGGGAGGAGGAGAGGGAAGGGGATTTAATGAGGAGATATATTTACAAGTGAATTTTACTTTTTATTCTTCAAACATTTTTATCCTCTTTACTTTTTATTCCAGCCATCTTCATATTCTCCCTTTCTCCTTTCCTCTCTTGGTTCCTAATTCAATTATATTTTCCCTCGTCTTTTTCATACTTTTATCCATTATTCAATCTCTAATGAATCGTTATCGTCATTATTCTTAATATCACTAAATAACTTAAAATTATCAAAACTTTCTATCGCACTTCTTCTTTCTCATCCTTTTATTCGTAATTCTGTTATCCCATTATCAAGGTTTCATCATCGTTAATGACATTACCGCGCTCGTAATTACCTGTACAATGCATTCCCCAAGTATTTGAAATGGAATAATGTTAATCGTCTGGATTAACATAACTTCATTCATTATCAGCGCAATCGGCATTGTCATTATTATCATTCTAATCAGTACCATCAGGCGTATATTTCCCGTCTTTACGATTTCCATAATGACCACCATTACCGCTATTATTACCAACACCCATTAACTCTCTTGCGTCTTATGTAACACCATACACTGCTTTTGCTATTTAGGTTCTCGGAATAAGGTTAACGAGGTAGCCATTACACAGCAGAGTAATTATCCTGATATTGCTGGCATTACCACGAGCTTCGTAATTACTTCCGCAGAACATGGAGGAAAAAAAGATCAATGGCGAGGTAGTGAAATGTTTGGCGCCGTCCGTAGAGTTGTCACTCAGCTGAATGTAAAATCATAGCGGAAGAGGGTTGATAATATGTTGTTTCTGCTTCTGGTTATTTGTTATCTATCCACCTACCTCTCTCTTTTTTCTGTCTCATCTAGGTATCTCTATTTCTCTGTTAACATAACTATCTCTTTTTCTCCCACAAACTCTCTCTCTCTCGTTCTCGCTCTCGCTCTCACTCTCACTCTCACTCTCGCTTTCTCTCTCTCTCTCTCTTTCTCATTCACTCACTCACTCACTCACTCACTCACTCACTCACTCTCACTCACTCTCTAGCACCCATTTTCTCCCTTTTTATCACTTTCTCTCTCTTTCTCTCTTTCTCTCCCCACCTCTCATTCTCTCCCCACCTCTCATTCTCACCCTCCATCTCTCATTCTCATCCTCCCTCCCTCCCAGATCCTTCCCTCTCCTCCCTCCCTTTCACACCTTTCCCAATCCCTCTCCTTCGCCCCTCCCCTCCCCCCCCCCAACTCACTATTTTTGGCGTTGTTGTCGTCACTCTCTTCCATCTTGAACTTGGGGCACGACCAGGCGAGGTCAGTGATCGCTGTGTCGTCGAGGAGTGGCACTTGAGACACCATAGCCCCGTGGACGTCCATGACAATCACCATGCCGGATGTGGTGCCGAAGTATACCTGGTCGGG